ACACGCCCGTCACGTCGAGATGATAAACGGTAACACGTCACAGTGACGTCATCGTTTTCCGCGACAGCTGCTTACTCCAATGCCACGGCGGGCGGACGAGCTGGAACGCGAATTCAGTAAGGGATTCACGGCAATCTGCCGCCGGATATGGCCGAACCTGCGCCAGTTGAAGACTGCTGCTTCCGGTTCGTTCGCGCTCTACGCAGAACTACTGACTGAGAAGTACGCGAAGGGCGTCAGTATCTACTCCAGCCTGTTCAACTCCTCGGAGGCATATATGGGTAAGGTGCTCCCTCTTCCTTCGCCACATATTATTCTAATTCTATACTTGAGTGATATTTAGTATATGCGCAGGCGCGTGGGTGTGTCAGCATGTGACGTCATTACGGTGACTCAACCTAGGCGGTATATATAGAGTTAGTATAATTATAGTTAGTATATACATGTAGATATATAAATATATATATATAGTATATATAACATATATAGTATATGTATATAGTATATACTATATAGTGTATAGCTAGTGTATAGTTAGTACATAGAGATTAGTGGTAGAAATGCGTTCCGGCGTTTGATGCTAGCGCGATGTCAGTCGGTCAGTGATCGGTCACACGCGAATATTTCGTGTTTGTGACTGTGTGACTGTGTGCTTGGGGCAGGAATCAACATGTGGCCCGGAGCTGCTAACATACACTACCTGCCGACGTTCACGTCAACCTTCTTCGAGTTCATGCCGCTCAGTGAAGTGCACAAGGAGCAGCCGAAAACATATTTCCTAGATCAGGTTAGCTGGCTATGTTGTTCGCAGTTCATCTACCCTGTGAAATACCGCTTTCGCTCTCTCTCACTCCAGAGAGAGAGAGAGAGGGGGAGAGAGAGAGAGAGGTGGGAAGAGAGAGTGATAGAGAGATAGAGCGAGAGAGAGGGAAAGATAGAGAGAGACAGGAAAAGACAGTGAGAGCGAGAGAGAGAGAGAGAGAGAGAGAGAGAGAGAGAGAGAGAGAG